GAGCAGGGAGCCCGATGCGGGACTCGATCCAGGGACTCCAGGATCATGACCTGAGCCGAAGACAGTTGCTTAACCAACTGAGCCACCCAGGCGCCCCCATTGCTTCTATTTTAAAATCCAATAACTATGTCCCCCAATAAATGTAAGAAAGTGCAGTGATCAGGTAGGAATAGAACCACTGTGACAAGGGCTCCTTCACTTAACTCTCACTGGTCCATTGCTACATAAGTCCTTGTTGATGGTCCTGACACCTACGTGGGAAGTGACCCCTGAACTGGTGGACCTGGTGTCTTAGCTCCCAAGCACTGGATTCTGGCCAGAGTTTCAGGCGACAGAAGCAGGCAGAGCACAGCCCCAGTGTCCATGAACTTTAAATGAGAAATCCCAGAGTTGAGAAAAAGATGGAAAGAGAAAGATGGAAAAATACACAGTTGTGATCACACATACCAAAGGCAACATGAGAAACAAAACAGAGGCCCAAGAGCGCGCAGAGAGGATGCAGACGGCCAGCATCTGAGAATCCTAGCAAGGTTATGCCTGACCCAGCAGGGGCACCTGGCTGTGGCCACCTTTGGCAGGAGAGGTCCTTTCCTGCATAGCGTCACATTCTCCCTAGTGCTTTTCCTCCTGGACACATGTTAATACTAGCTCGGCATTAAATGTCGCAGAAGAGTGGCAGTGTGTAGCCTGAGTGGAGCTGGACTGGGCTTTTTAATTTATAATTTATACGCCATTTGCAATGCTCTTGCAAACACTGTGGTTCAAAGGGATAGAAATAGCAGCCATACTTTGCTATTTGCTAGAAAGTTCGGTTTCCTGTCACATAAATTAGAACAGAAACTAGAAGGCTGTTTTAGCAAGAGGTTGGGCCATCAAGAGGCTATAAATTGCCTATATTCTATCCCAAAGATGCAATGACAAGTCATCCCTGGTTCTCCCCAACATCCAAAGCCCTCAGCAACCAAGCATCTCAAGCTAGAAGTAGGAACTGACCATGTTTTTTGTTAAGGTAACTTCCCTGTCTTGAGCCTCTTTCTTGATTCCAACAGGAGGAAGTGACTTTTGCAGTCAGGATGTTTTCATGATGAAACTTGCCACCAACGGCTGAGGAGTGAATTTGCCACTTTGGAAGGAAATTGAGCCAGCTCTGCATTACAGGTTCATCGTTAGAGACAGCCTGAGACCTGCTACTGGGCTGGGACTATGTTTGGTCCAAGCTTCATGCAGGTCTTAGAAGAAACATTAAGTCAGCAAGGGCAAAAAGACCTCCAAAGAGCCCCGTCCCGACTTTCCCAGCCACTATCTGCTGACTGGCAACCCCATCAAGATTCATGCTGGCCACATCCACTCAGATCTCCTGGACCCTGGTACACTTGCTAGAGCAGTAACACCTCTGGGCTACCCATCCCCAGCAAGATGCAGCTCTGCTCGAGCCCTGAAACAACTCACTAATAGGCCAGAATCAATCCATTTAATCTCAATGTGCTTTTTTACTTAGATTTTCATGGGTTAATGAAATAAAATACAGAAAGCCTCTGGAGTTTTTAGAAGTACAGGCTTGGGGCGCCTGGGTGGCTCAGTTAGTTAAGCATCTGCCTTCAGCTCAAGTCATGATCCCAGGGTCCTGGGGTTGAGCCCCACTTCAGGCTCCCTGCTCAGTGGGGACTCTACTTCTCCCTCTCCCTCTCCCCCAGCTTGTGCTCTCTCTCGCTCACTCTCTCTCTCAAATAAGTAAATAAAATCTTTAGAAGTACAGGCTTGACTGGTACTGATGGGTTCAGATCCATCCAGTGTCATTACTTTTTTTTTTTAAGATTTTATTTATTCATTTGAGATAGAGCAAGAGTGGGGCGGGGGTTGGGGGGAAAAGCAGAGGGAGAGGACGAAGCAGACTCCAAGCTGGGCAGGAAAACCTGGAAGTGGGGCCGGATCCCAGGATACCAAGATCATGACCTGTGCGGAAGGCAGATGCTTACTTGACTGAGCCACCCAGGTGCCCCCAGTGGCATTACTTTTAAAACTTTTTTAAAAATCCAGATTATTATCTATTTGGTTTTGGAGGACAGGGGTATTCATATCTACCCTCCTTTCTAAGTTTGACCTTCTAATTACCTTTGGTTTATTTAACCCCATTAGTCTCCAAGACGGCCCAGCTCTACCTTATACCTTGCATTACAGTTCCCCAAATGAATCCAGCTGAAAAATGGTCTCTCCTAACAATTAAAAATTTTCCCTCCGTGCTTCTTATATACCACATTGCATTTTTCTAAAATGTAGGCCCTCCCATGCTAGAGTGACATGGGAGATGCCCTCCCCACACATTGTTGGTTTTGTTACAACAGACCAAGCCATTGGAAAAAGCACACTAGGTGCAGGAAGAAACCCAACGTGGCTCAAAAACTTACTGAGGGTAAGAGAAAACATAGACAACACAGGTGAATAAATAAGACCTTCTTATACTCTCAGGGGGCAACACTCAAACCGCAACATCCAAGTAGTTGGTGTAGAACTGGGTGAATCACAGGTCCGATGACTCTTATTTTCTTACATACAGGGAGAAATCATCCTCAACCTGGCATAAGAAAGTGTGATCAAAGAAATGTGCAACAGCAAGTGAACCGACATCAGCTTTAACATTTCTGTGCCCTAGTTCCCTCAGGGAAGAGGCTGTGCCCTGGTGCCTGCTGGTTGGTGAGTCGTCTTAGTTCTCTGTGGTCTAGAGTAAGGGCCACACCTAGCTTACCAATGCCTCGGCCCCAAGCGCCAGCAGGAAGCCCTCCCTCTTCACAGTAAGCAGCAAAGCAAACCTGCACTCCCCCTTTCCTTCATTCAGGTAACTCTGGTTTATCTAGGAGGGGTTGAGAAAAAAATCCAGAGAACAGCTCCTGTAAATTCCCAGATCTCACCACATATCCAGTCAGCAAATATTTATTGAGCACCTACTTTGTGTTAGCCACTGAGACTAGAGATTAGCCACCACATTGATGATGGACCGAAGGCAGTCCCTGGTTTTCAGGGACTCAGAATTTAGTGAGGAAAGCAGACCAGAGGAAAAAAAATCACAAGTTTGTCACATCCTGTTTGAAAAGAGGTACTAATGAGGCCTGTGGAAGAACAGTGGAGGAAGGGCTTGAGTCAGCCTGGGGAGCTTGGGGAAGGCTGTCGGGATACCATGTCTGCTGGGCACTTTAAGAATGGGTAAGAGCCTGAGTGCAAGGTCATACCTTGCAGCAAGATGTTCCCATACAAAGGGAAGATACCAAGTTCTAGAAGGAACGTATTTTGAGGAAACTTTAAGAGGTGAGGGTTAAGGGTAAGGGAGAGATGAGGCTGGGGAGAGAGGCAGGGCTATTCAGGAAGGAGCCGGGTATACTTTTGCCCTTTAACCAATAGGAAGTTGATGAGCAGAATTTTAAGGAGGGGACTGACAATGTCAGAACTGCCTTTTAGAAAGTTCACTCTTACAGAAGATGAACTGAAAGACGAGGAAAGCAAAGGCAGGAAGGCCAGTTAGGAGGTGGCCACAAAAAGAGATAATGAAGCAGCAGTGCTGGCAAGAAGAGGAAGCGCAGACTGGGGACGTATTGGAGAGCTGTTGGAGAGCCGACTGGGCGTGTGGGAGGAAGACTTAGTCTAAGATGACTTCCAGATCTTGGAGGCTGAATGGACGCAGGTGACATAGGCCACAATGGAGCAGACAGGACGGGAAGCAGGGCTGGGGCTGGAGCAGAGAAAGAGCAAGGTTTCTGTTTTGGATGTGTTTCTGAGGGACCTGTGGGGTATCCACGTGGAGGTGCCTAGCAGGCAGTTGGAGACACAGGCAGGGAACTCAGTAGAGAGTTCACGTCAGGACAAAGAAAGAGGTTGGTAGTCATCAGAATATAAAAAGACACAGAAGTTATGGGTGCAGATGAGATTGCCAGAGTAAGTTATAGAGAAGGGACAGGAAACAAAAGTTACCCCTGTTCCTGCCTACCTCTAAAACCAAGACTGAAACAGGAGCTTTTCTGAGCAGGGGCTGGGCCACTATGAGGAATGGGGTCCAGAGAGGTCCAATGCAACAGAAAGCCAAACAGCTGTCTCTGCAAGGACTCTGTGTAGAGTCCCTCTCACAGGTTTCCACTTGGGCTAACATGTCGTTAGGGAGAAGACAATGGAAGGCAATGGGGGAAGGCAGACAAGTAGACCAAAGGGAAGGTTAACCTGGTCCAAACATTCCCCATGGACCATCTGCACAGGAATCGGGGTGACTGCAAGGTGACATGTTTTAAACATCTAGTGCCTGGAAACTTCTTGATGGGTCAAGCTTAACAGGGAAAGAGAAAATGACAATAATCATCTTAACTTCCTTTTACAGAGTACCTATTATGTGTGCCAAGACCTGCCCATCACATATATTATCTCTAGTCCTCACAAGACCCTAGCAAAGACTGTGCTATTATAAACTGAGCCCTATCTAATTTAAGTCACCCTGTCTGCATGACCCTCAATCATGTACCAGGCTGTCCTTCTAATGAATACACAAGTGGGACAAATATACTTTCATCAGGAGGAAAAAGAAATTAATCATAAGGATAAGACGGTTAATTACATAAAGCACTTGATTTTCAAGCTGTGGAACTGTTCCCCAGAAGAAACGAAGGAAGGAGGGACGGAAAAAAGAAAGAACCAAATCCAAGAGACTATGGCTTATAAGAACATTTTTGAGTTAAAATGGAATTCAATGAGGAAGGCGGACAAGGCACAATGATATCAACTTTCTTACTCCCATACAGCAAGACCTATACTGTGCATCATTCACAGAGCCAGACCTAGGAGCCAGATCAAAGCTCCACCCACTTCATTCATAGTCAAAGAATGCAATGAAGGAGAAAACCACACTACCACAACCTTGGCGAAGTTACTCACTATCCTCGCTCTGGTGCCCTGAGATCAGTCGACTGTTGACACAGATAGACCATACTCTGCATGAAGCATTATCCCTTGACAGCTCAACACTATTCTCACAAGGTGATTTGGTTATCCCTGCCTTACAGGTGAGAAAGCTGAGGCCCAGAGAGGCACAGAGCTTCCTCAAAGTCACAGGGTCAACAACAGCCCACAGTGCTCAGAGGCTCAGGAAGAGTTATCAATGGAAGCTAAATGGTTGGGAGAAAACCCAGCAGGGATGATGATTCAAGGAGTTAGACAAGAAACCAGGCAGGACAGATATGCAAGTTGCTCCCTCAACTTCCCTTTCACTTAGACTAGAGGGAGGCCTTGACTCCATTCCCCTGAGCAGCTTATTTCACATTGCGGGGGTTGGGGACACTCTGGTTATCTTTCATGTATTGATGAGGTATCACGACCACCTGGAGTGATGGTATAAGACACAGACTAAATGTGCCTGTTTATATGCTCATATTACAGAGCCAAAGAAACCATGCAAAAACTTTAAAACTACTAAGTAGGGAAGTACTTCTCAACTATCTCATACATTATGCTTAGCATAAAATGCTTTGGATTCATCCTATCTACCTAGTGGTCCTTTACTAGGCGTGATTTTACCCTCCAGGGGACATAAGGCAATATCTCAAGACATCTCTGGGGGTGCTTTTTGGGGGTGCTTCTGGTATCTGGTGGGTCAAGGCCAGGTTAATATCCTGCTAAATATCCTGAGACAACAAAGAATTATCTAAAGCCCAAAATGTAAACAGTACTGCTGTTAAGAAACCCTATTCAAGCTAGAGGTGGGAGAGAGCAGAGGGTATGAAACTCACTCTTTAGCCCCTTTCCGGTACATAAAAGGCCACCCAAATTCTGGATTTAAAATAGCAAAAAGGTTTCCTCTATGATCAGCCAGTCTTCGACCTAATTTCATTTTCTCAAATACCAGAGGCAAACACTTCAGCCAGAGCACTGGCCATACAGACTCCTTTTTCCAGGATTCCTCCTACCTGTGCCAATGTTTCCTGCCCCTGTAAAACAGGAGACCAGATTCTTTGCTGAACTCTCAGGATATGAGAGAGAGTATTTAATGAGCTTTCCCAGGAAGTCTGTAAGAACAGGGTCATATATGCAGCCTTTGCTACAGGTATGAATCTTTTGCCAGAAGTTTTTTTCAGCCCACATGAGTATTTACTGTGAATCTACTCCTGACCTAATGACAAAGACCATTTTTTCAGAAGTACCTGAGAGTTTCTAAAAACACAAGACTTCAAATAGAATTAGAGACAACCCCACTTTGACCGGCAGCTCCCAAATCTTCTGTATTGTTACTGCCTTTTACTTAGTTTTAATTATTAATAATTATGTTCGAAGATTGTTAGAGCATTGACAAATTTTGATCATTTAATTTTGGACTTGGACCATTTTTTTGTCTGTAAGGAGAAAATTAGTCAACTGAAACTAGCTAGCATTCTAATGAAGAAGTCTTAGAAACACAGGCTCAGTAGACAGAAAGAAGACTGCAGGGCTTCTTTCTCAAAACAGGTCCAAGGATAGGAGATCAGAGCTAAGGTGAGACAGAAGGGTGGTGAGCTCTCTCCCGCATCACATGTAAAAGAAAAAGGGGGTGGATGGGAGTGAACTAAGTGAGGCACAGAGGACCAGCTTAACTTGGGTCTGACAGCTGTGGATGTCCAGACAATGGCAAAAGCAGTACTGGAGAAAGGTCTCCCCCTAACAAACCCACCTGCAGGCTATGGCAGGAGCATCTCACTCGGAAATCCTGGAGGCAGGAAGCATAGCTGAGCGCATGCCGAAGGGACAACTAGGGTATCCCAGGGCAAGGTGCCCACAACAATGAGGCTGTCGGCAGGGATGCTCCCCGTCGCCCTCGGCCACCCCCACCGTCCTGGCGATGCGCTGTCACTTTTGGCAGGGAAGCCGGCAACGCATGGGCAGTCGCCGGCCGGCGGGCCTCAGACTGCAGTGGACAAGGGGCTCCGACAGGCCTCACCGGAGCTGGGCCCGGAACCACCCCGCTTCCCCACCCCCAAGTCGGCGCTCTGGCCCGGCGGAGGCGGCCGGGGAGGGAGGCCCGGGGTGCCCACTCACCGATCTGCCCGATGAACTCGATCTTGATGCCCTGGTGCTCCAGCCGCTTGTTGGGGTTCTTGAGTGCGAGGCTCACCTTCCCGGAGACCGTCTCTCCGTCGTAGAAGAGGAAATATTTCTCCTTCTTCCCGTCCTCCGTCTTGTGCTCGGCCCGCTTCCTACTCTCCGCATCGTTCAGCAAGATTTCCACCTCCACGCTCTGCCCAAAGCCGAAGAAGCTCATCTCACCGCCGGGCCGGGCCGGGCCGGGCCGGTCTCGGTAGGACCGCTTCTCTCTGCGGGGTGGGGGCCCTAAGCAAAGGCCGGAGGGCTGGACGCTGGACCCAGCTCTCTGCCAGACGGGGGGCGACGGCACGACTCCCGGCTCGACGGGGAGGGCGCAGGGCCGGCTGCAGCGCCCTGGGTACCAGTGCTCCGCGACTCGCCAATCCCGGGCGAGCCCGAGCCCCCAGCGGCAGTGAGGGGCTAGGGCGGGCAATGCAATTGGAGGCCGGCAGTAAAGAGCCCGGGCGTGCGTCGCCGCTGCCGCCCACCTGGTGGGGTGCGGCGCTGAGCAGCACGGCGAGCCAGCCCCGGCCTCTGGCAGTGCAACGCACGGAGGTGCTTCGGCGGCTCTGGGCGGGGGTGCGGAGGGGGGGGGGGGGGGGTGGCCAGTCTCCAGCCCGGACACGCCGGAGACGCCACGCGCATGCGTTCGCCTCTGCCGCTGTAGCTTTCGCCACCCGGCCGCCGGGAGGTGTGCTCATTGCGCATGTGCAATGGTAGACAGAGCGGCCTGTCTTTCCCTTAGTTGACATGGGAGTTACAGCCTTTTTCCAGGATTCGGGGCCAGACATCCTGTAAAATTAAAAGAACTGCAGATACCCTTTCGGGTGCTTTTGTTTTGTTTTCCTTTATTTTTTTAGTTCGGTAAGCGTTAATAAGTACAGCGTTCGAGTGCTGTCTGACGGGGTAAAGGTAGCCCTTTGACACGGACGGGAAGTGTCGCTTGACTGGGGGCAAAGGTGACATTTAATACAGGAAGAATCTTGTCTCAAATTCTCTTTACAGTGTCCTTCCATTTAAAAAAAAATAAGGCGAGAAAGACGCTATTAAGCTTTAATTTAATTGTTGACCCCTACTTTAAATGGAAACCTAAAAAATCACCCGGTGGAACGTTGGCTCAATCCCAGTCCTTGGCCCGCCCCATTCTTTGCGCATGCGGCAGAAGACCCTGCTGATTGGTTAATAGAGTGAAAACGGCTGGGCGCGATGATTAGTCGGTGGGAAATTCCCCATGTTGTGATTGGTCCGCAGGAACGTCTCGGAGCGCGCGCGGGAGCGAGCTTTGAAAGTTGACCACCGCTGAGACTAGCCGGTTCCTGAGAGATCATGGTGGCGCTGCCGGGCCTTGGGAGCGGCCTGCAGCCGTGGTGCCCATTGGATCTCAGCCCCGGTGAGAAAACTAGGCCGTAAGTCTCGGGGAGGCCGGGCTGTGGTGCTTTGCGACTGCGGTGCTCCTCTGCCCGGGCCTGGGGTGGGGGTGGGGCGCTCGGCTCGCAGCAGAGTCTGGGGTCTCCAGGTCTGTGCACTCCAGGACATTGGCGAGCCGGGTCTGGAATAGGGGCTCAATCTACTAAAGGAACAGGAAAAAAAAGGAGCTTACATGGTCCGATCTCTTTTAGTTCTTTTGCATGTTTTCTCGGCCTTCCCTTGCTTATTCTGAATCCTCACCGACAGTCTCATCCATTTCTTTGGTTTTAAATAGCAAATCTATTTCTTCGATCAGACTTATTTCCTAAACTTGGTGTTTATTGGTTTTAATGGATGTCTCACAGCCACCTCAGACGTCACATGCATGAAACTGGGATTACCAAAGCCAGTTATTGGTACCAGCCAGTCCACAAACCTGGGAGTCATGGCATTCTTTCTTCATCTTTCATGCTCACAACCACCAGTTGTCCTCCCCTCAGAGATGTCTCTCAGGTCCTCCTTGCTCCTTTTCCTGATGCTGCTGTCCAGCAGCAAGCCCTCATTATAACCAGCCTATATCCTAGCTGCTTTCTCATGCTAACTCTTCCAGCCCATTCCCCACACCTCTACCAGGATCACATTTGAAAACACAAACGTGACCTATCAAGTCTTTAAGCCTTTAATGTTTCCCCTCTATTTCTTAAATAAATGACCAAATCTTTGGCATGCCCTATTAAGAGCGTTCACCACTCACTGCAGTCTTCTTTTCCAATAGCATAACCTTTGGAGTCGGAACAGTGGGATTGGTTCTTCAGCTTAGCATCTCTGTATCACTGAGCAAGTTGCTTAACCTTAGTTTCCTTACATGTCAAATGGGGATTATAATAATATCTACCTCACAGGAGTTTTGTGAAGATTAATTCAGTACCTGGAACATAGTAACTGCAGAATAAATACTAATAATGACTCTCACCTTTCACACTAAGACTCAGTGTTGTAACTATTTTGTTCATTTTTAAACAGGCTATACTTTCTTTCCCTTTGTTCTCTCTGTCTGGGATACACTTTTTTTGCATTTCTTTCCCTGGTAAACTCCTACATTTAGGTCCAGTTGAAGCAGAATCATCCTTCTCACTTCTGTCATCCTTCCCACCTCCCCCATAATATTTTCTATTATGCTCTCTAGTGTTTTACATACCTATTACTGTTTTAACACTTATTTATTGTAAAAATAATAATAGTACCTATCATTTATTGAATTTATTGATTTCCTGACACCAGATCTTTTCTTTTTTCATTGGAACTTGGGTATCTGTGATCCAGAAATAAGATCAGAAATACTGGTATGCATTTAAAAATATGCATATAAGATAAATGGGAGAATATGAGAGAAAAAGAGGCAGGAAAAGATGCAAGACCACTTTTAGGAAGAGGATTGTATTTGTTAGGAGAATGATTAGGAAAGAGTGAGTGAATAATTAAAGCATGTTAAACAGTCAGTCGCCTCAGATGTCCTTTGTGCTGCATACTTTATTTGGGTTTATTAACTTGATTGTAAGATTTTCACAAAGGGACATCCAAGGCAATCTTTTATTAACCTGTTTTTTTCTCCAGATTGAATTTATGGGAAAGCCATATCGTTCAGTGTTTTGAAGTGTCATTCATATCTAAAATGTTTTCCTTCTTGATATTTTTAGAAGATGATCAATCTAATAGCCAGCTGTCAGTTCTGATTTTCAAAAAAGATTTTTAAAAATATTTTATTTATTTATTTGAGAGAGAGAGAGAGATCATGAGCAGGGGGGAAGGGTAGAGGAAGAGGCAGACTCTGTGCTGAGCAGGGAACCCAGTGTAGGACTCGATCCCAGAACCTTGGGATCATGACCTGAGCTGAAGGCAGATGCTTAACTGACTCAGCCACCCAGGTGCCCTTAAAAAAAAGATTTTTTCACCTTTTCTGCTTTCTTTTA